GCGCAGTACACATGGAACTCATTTAAATCTCAAAAATTTGAGGGACGTCAGGGGATGCTTCTTCTCCCCCTCCATAAAAGCACTTTGTTCTGGAAGAAAATCAGTGCAATGTGATGCACAGATGGGTGAGCTCCTTCCTCTGCCATGGCTGGGCCGGGCTGATGTGCCCGTGCGCGAAGGCACCAAAACGGGGCTGAAAGGCCGACTGCTCAAACCTGGCTTCAGAATAGCTGCTTTTTTCCCCTTATTTTTAATTTTCTTCCTCCTAAGGGTCAAAGAGCCCCTTGGCATGCCCCATGCCACCTTGCACAGTGCCTCTTTCCTGAGGTTCTCCATGGCCAGCTGCCGCAGGAACAGTCCCAGCCACTGAGGTGGCTGCTCCCACGTGGAGCCTGTCAGTCTGGTTTGGATTACGGGAAAAGCTTTTAGCAAATTACCGCTCCTTTCTGCTCTGTTTCCACCAAAGAATGGATACAGGCTGCCTGCCGGTCTGAGGACGGATTGCTTTTTGGGAACAGAAAAAGGATTTTTTTTATTACTGTTGTTTTTTTTTTTTCTCCTTTTGGTTTGCTAAGGTGACCTCGGCGCTTGCTGGGCTCTTGTTCTGCATCGTTCAGGTGATGCCTCTGTCGGGGAATTTATTGCGCTCAGCTTTGGACCTGTCTTGGAGCAGGATATCGAGGGAGGAGGGCTTGGGGGAAGCCTGGTTGCCCTGTATTCCAAAGCAAAACCCAGTCCCTTAGCAGGGTGGCAGCAAAAGAGGGGAGAACCGAAAATGATGATGGCTGCACTCAGAAACACTGGGGCACTGAGCTGCCCCTGGGCTCGGACATCACATCCACGGTGGTGGAACAGGCAGCGTCTGGGGCTCATGGTCCTTCCACAACAGGGGCTGTGTCATGAGGAGCTTGGCGTGATGAGAACACCACTCACCTTTCCTAAAGCAGCATCTCTGGCCGCGCTTGTAGAGCTGGAGGTGTTGCAGAACGAGAGATGTTGCTGAGGGTGGTGACTTCTGCTACCTGCTCCTGCTGTGACAGGTAACACCAGAAAGGTCTACAATGAGGTTAATGCAGCTCAGTGCTTGGACTGTAAATCCCTTTGTCTCACTGGAAGCCTCTGTGCAGGAGGAGGGGGTCGTGTCCATGGTGCTGCGGTGGAGGATGCTGGTTCCTCTGCCCGGATCTGGTTGGTTGTGGTGGGGCTGCTGCTGGTTGTTACGTGGTGACTTCAATAGCATCACAAGTGTCTCGGGTCTGGATGCACCAACCAAATAACAAAGGCCTCTTCTGCCAGCACAGCAGAGGGGAGGACTTGTCCACAACCTTTTCCAGAGCTTTCTCCTAAAAAGCATAAGGGAGAAGTGCTCCCCTGCAGCTGTGTCCCACCAGCAGTGATTTCCAGCAGGGTCGATAGCCAGGGCTGTTGCCAACATGGGCTACACTGTGAGCCCCATTATTTAGGGTGACCCAGGACCCTTTGCAGTGAGGCTGATGCCTTGTTGTGCTCTTCTGTTCTGACACTTTCCTTCTTTCCAAATTTAAGGTTTGTCTGCTTCTCTTCTAAACCACAGAGACAGGGATTGAAGTAAGGCCTTTGAATTTCCTAAAATTTGACCACAGGGTTCCTTCCGAGCCCACCACTAATTTCTAGTGGAGCAGGCAACATTAAAAATAACCATGAGAGGAGATTTCCCAACTCAGAAGGATTGTCCTCTTAATAATCTCCGGCTTTGTTTTCACTAGATATTTTCCCCCCTTGCAATTCCTGCGGTGTTGCTAGAGCAAGGCCGTCCCTGCCAGCGCTAGGGATGGCACCAGTGGGGAAGGGCTGGGGGCCAGGGCCCCAGGCCAGTGTCCGGGTGTGCTCTGAGAGACGTGGAGGAGAAGTATTTATTGGAAAAGCTTCTGCATGACATTCTGAGCTTAAAAACCCTGTGTCCTGAGCTACAATATAAATAATCTCATCACAGGCACTGGTGGCAGGGATGCAGTGGGTGCTCGCTCGTTGCTGCAGCAGGAAGGCTGCATCTTCGTGCTGTTTGTGGGGTGGTAAAACCAAGGAGAGCGATCGCGCCTCGTGTTCACCTCTGCTCCATGTCACCAGCTCTCCCGGCTCATCCATCTCCTCGCTGCTCCCAGGGCCTGAAACCTGAGGGCTTCAAGCAGATGTGGCGGATATATTTTCTTTATCAAGCTGACAGAGAAACATTTCCTCTTTTCCCTTCAAATGCGGATGATGTCCCACAGAGCTGTGCTGGCCTGGTGCCAAGCACAGGCACTAGTTACTTGTGGATGCTCAGAAAATGAGGTTTTACTTGATTATCAGCTAGAAGTGGCCGTTAATATCTGACAAATATATGTTGGTTCACTGCTGGGGGTAGGGGTGCCGTCTTCCTGGGACCACCTGGGGTTGCACATTGAGCGGTTTTGTCCGTTTTGTTTTGCTTTGCAATGATGGTTTTGTTCAGAACCAAGTTTGGCAGAATTTGGCCAGGTTCTCAAAGCATTAGGTTTGCTCTTTACAAAATAGTTCATCCTCTCTTAATTTAGTGAATGGTTAGCTCTGTACAGAGCCATCACTGCATACACGTGATTCAGACCAAACAGCTTGGCCAAGAAGGTGAGAGAAATGTGTCCTGGGCAAAAATATCATCATGAAGCTGCTGTGATGCTTGGCCTTGTGCAGACCCAAGAGCAGGGCATCAGACAGATGATGTGTTGCCCTCCTAAGCGTTTTTGTCCTCAAAATGTAGACTTGTACAGAGAGCTTTTTGTGACTGGGTGAGTAGGAGTTTACTTGTTGTTTTTCTGCTCCTTAGTTATCAACTAAGCTAGAGATTGCTCCATCTTTGATTGACGTGACATGGGCCAGAATTCAAATGAGTCGATAACGATCTCAACACACGGATGCTTTGGAGAATTGCAGGCTGTGAATTAAGTAAGCCCAGGTTTCCAGTGCTGCCTCCTAATTTACACGTGCTGCGTTTTCTGGCCGCTCTCCGAGGCGTCATCCCAGCGCGGGGAGGTGCTTGGCTGGGCAGGTAGCACCGAGTCCATTAAATCTCCATCCTCCGGGAGCAACACAGCAGTTAAAGGCTGGAGTTACAGTCATGCCCATTGAACTGTAGTGGCTTCCTGTACGGCTCCTTTCAAAGCCTGATGAATGTTGTTTCTCTTGAGCGTTTAATGGTTTCCCTCAAACCAAGCTCCCTTTGAATAGGCCATTGTTTTCACTTCTGGATGGCCCTTTGTGGACAGATACAAGAATAGCTGAGAGCTGATGAATTGCTATTGTAAAATTTTATTTAGGCCCTGGGACTTCTGCTTCTTTGAGGACTTGGATGGGTTCTAGGTTCCTTGTTTCCCTAGGTGCCACCTTTTCCTTCTGGGGATCCCCAGTAACTGTGGCAGATCCATCAGCTCAAGCAATTGTAGTTTGATGGAATAAAACCTCCTTGGAGATGGCACCTATCTCAAGTACATTTGTATAAATTCTGTGACATGGTTTTAAAATTAAAAAAAAAAACAAACAAGTTTTGTATGGAAAAATAGTATATATTGTGTAAGCAGACTGTACAAATCAGGTCTGGCAGCTTTACACACAAGATTTCCAAAGAAACCCATGTTTATTTTCTGGTAAATACCCCTTTCATATAGTTTCTGGCTCCTTATAACATAAGTGTCAATGCACAGCACCTGCCCCAGGCTGGGTTTAGCTATTTTCCTAGTGGACTGGGGATATCCTGGAGCTTTGTATTCCAAGTGTGGCCAGCGCAGCAGCTGCAGGCTGGTTTATTGATGCTGGGCGGCTGGGGCTGAGCGCTATTTTACACGTGGCCGTTAGGCTTCCTCTCTACAAATCTCCCTTTTTCTCTTTGTTTGCTCAGTCATCTCGTGCTTCAAGCTGAAGTAAAACACACCCAGCCTCATAAGTGTTGAGGAAAGGCAGGAAACGTTGACGCGTTGCTGTTGGTGTAAGCAGTGGTCTGAACCGGGCGCGTTTCAGTGGTTCCCGCAGGTTCATGGCGCTGTAACATGCAGTGAGATTCCCGCCTCGCAGGCGTGTGTCGAGGGCTCCCAGAAGCTGGATGTGAAGCACACGGCTGGGTGCAAGATGTCAGTGGGGACATGGGCTGGGGGTACCGTTTTGCACATGTAGCCCTTCAGTTTGCAGAAGAAGACAATAAAAGCAACCCCAGCTTTGTGTTTGAGATGGTGACGTGGCTAAGAACCGTGTGTCAAAAGGGACACAAGCTCTTCCCGTCTCCTGTTGGGCATGGCCCTATGGCTCGGGCTGAGGTTTAGCTGTATCCTAGTGGATGAGCTTCTCCTTATCCACCCAACGTGTGCACATGGACTGGCTCTTGAAATCTGGGCAGTGCATGCAGGTGTCCAAGCGCTTGGCTCACCTGCAGCTCCTGTGCCACATCTCTTCAGGAAATGTTGGACAACGGCTTGATGCTCTTCCAGCACTGAGCTCCAAGGTGACCATTGATGAGATTTTCCATATATATATCCTGTGGCAACCCTAGGAGAAGGGAGACTTGGGGGAGAATTAGCGACACTAGGCGTTGGATCCCTCAAATACCTGTGCTTTTCCCCTTTGCACCTGCCTCACCCAGGACAGATTTTAGCAAGTCCCTTTGAGGAGACAGTTCGGGGTCCCAGGTTGCCTGCAAAGGACTTCAGGGCGCTGTTCGCTTTAACCCCCGGGCATGTTTTGCTGCTTTTAAAGCCACGAAGCCAACGTGGGCGTCCCGGCGGCGTGCCGTCCTTGCCGCTCCGCCTGTCGCTGCTCTTCCCGCTGCTCTGCTGCGCGCTTGACGCCGCTCGCTCCCAACCGCATGGACCGGGCTTAGGCGGATGACCCGCGTAGCCAAAGGCGGTGCTGTCTGCAAGTAGAGCCGCTTCCAGAGCATGGCTGCTGCTGCTATGTTCATAAAGTGATTTATTTGTTGGTGTGCTTTTAATAATGCTGCCTTTTTCTTCCGTTTTTAGGGCCCTCTCGGGTTGGATGGCAAGCCGGTAAGTAGCACTGAGTGCTGAGCGTATTGTGTCTTTATTCCCGCTGCTCCACGGTAGCTGGGCTGAGGCTCAAATTGTTTCTGAATTGCTTCTCTCTATATAACTGTTTATGAGGCCAAATTATGCTTAGAAAAAAGATGCTCTGGGGTCTGTAGCGCATGTGCAGTTGAACTGTGAGCTGGGGTTGGATGGCATCTCAGCACGTCCCCTTTGGGCCATGGGGATGGTCCCATCGGAGGAGATATAGTATCTGGAGAATCTGAAAGCTCGAGACGTTCTTGCCCAAGGAGCAGTGACAGAGGCTGCTGGTAGGACGGATAGAGCAGTCTGTGTCACATACTCCTCTTGCAACTGTTAGCTCTGAGTCCTCATCCCAGCTGGAGCACCTGATACACAGCAGGATTTGGGCTTGGCTAACGGAGCCTTCGCAAGCTGGATGCAGACCAGGTTTTGGAAATGAGCTCCAAAAGTGGCTTGGAAGAAGCAAAGCCAGGAGTGTTGGTTGCACAAAGCTGTGGTTTAAAAAACCTGTTTTGAGGGGAGTTAGGCTGCAGAGGAGCACAGGCAGCAATTGCTTGGGTGAGAGGGTCTTTCAGCTCAGGTGCAAAGTTCTCATTTTTCATGTCGTGCTTTGGGGAGCGTCGTGAACCTCATTTTACAAACTGTTATCTTCATTTCTTTTTTGCTTGCAAGCCTTTGGGATAATCAGGTACTCCACTGTTTTCCTACTGCCTTTTTGCCTTTATGCTTTCTGAATTTACGCTGAGCAGCAGTTGCCAGCTGCGAGTCCTTCGTCCAAGACTGTTGCTGAGTGAGGTTGTGCATCCGTATTTTGTGCTCAAGTCCCATTTTAGCCCATGTTCACCAGAGGGCACCATTTGAAATCTTTTCAAGCTCCGGTTCCTAACGCAAGATTTTCAAAGCAGGCAGAAATGATTTAGGTTTTGCAAAGGAAGAGTTAGCCCAGGTATTTATGTCTAGCCAAAAGGGAATGTCTTAATGTAGCATTTTTTATTGTTGCCATGAGAAATAAGGTAGCCTTTCCTCACTGGTTGGCAACAATACGGGCAACCCTGTGAATCTAGAGGTGCACGTTTAACTTGCCCAAAGTTGAAGCAGGGCCACAGCATCCTTAGGAGGATGCAGAATAGGTGCCCTGCTGCCATCCTGCTTTGGACTCGCTGTTTTGTCGCGCTTGCCTTAAAGCAAAAACCAGCAGAGGTTTCCCGAGTGAGCCAGTGCCTATGTGTTTTTCATTCCTTTCTTAAGGAGTTTTCCAGGCATTGAAGGAAGCTCAGGACGTGTTTGCTCACGTTTTCCCTGAAAGTCTGTGGCGTTGAGCGATGTCTAACACTAGGTGCAATGTTGCTGGGTCCCGCATGGTCTCACAGGACTGCTTCCAGCCAAATCCTTGGCAGGAGGGATGCGCACAAGGATGTGGGAGCTTGCCACCCTCTCCGTCCATTCCCACATGGGTCTCGCTTCAACCAGCACCGGGAATGGGGCTGAGCCAAGAACCAGGATTTTTCCCCATTTTCAGGGGGCACATGGAGGTGCCGCAGCCTCTTGCTGCCTTCCCGAAAGCTGTCAAGGAGGGAACATGACTTATGTCTTCAGCAGAGAGGCCAAAGCAAGCAGCCCGGCCTCCCCGCTTATTCCTAACAGATGTGTAATTGTTGTAATGATATGCTGAGCATGTGTTTTTCTAGAAGTGATTTAGTACTTTAGGAGATGGCTCTCATCTCTTGGGAGTCACGTGCAGCTGAGCCGCCGGCTCGCACTGCCTCCTCGCATCTCAGTAGGGTTGGGATGGGACCTGGTGGGTGCTTTGGGGTGACACCACTCGTGGGAAATAACAGTGTGTGTGACCCTGGTGTGTGAGTGGGGGACTGCAGCCTCTCGGGCTTTGCTGTTGCAGAAGAGACCTTTGATTCTGTTGGGTTTTAATCATAATCCATCTTATGTATTTACAGGGGCCTCCAGGACCGAAAGGGGAGAAGGTAAAGACTGGCCTAGCCTGCATCTCTTTGGGAAGCAGAAGTTTGTCCTCCTTGGTCTTGTAGTGCTAACTATCCCAACATGCTGTTATCCTTGGATTTGGGGAGATGCAGAAGCAAGAAAGTGGATTCTCCAGTGGCTTGTTGAAAGAGCCCTGGGAAGTGGGAGGGAAAGAGCCCTGGGAAGAGGGCAGAAAGAATTTGGAGAAATGTTGGAGGAGCAAGCGTGGCCTTCAAGCTCCTGCAAGCCACGGGGTTCATGGTGGCCCCGTGGGGGTTTGGGTGGTACCACACAGTTCTTGCCTTTTCCTCCAAGAGCAGGAGAGCTGAATGGCTGTGCGCTCCATCGCTGCCTATGCATGACATCCTCCCCGAAATTCGAGAAGCCAGAGAAGGTCACGCCTGTACCAAAAATGATGTTAATCCTTGCATGCATAGGGCATAAGCAGTGCTAGGGGAGCCTTGGAGTTGCAAACAATCTGCTCTTTCTGATTTATTATCTGTTTCATCGCCTGCCAGGGCAGAATCATCCCCATTGTATTGTCCCAAGTCCTTCTCCTTTTGAATACGTTAAGCAATAGGACTCTTGCCACTTCCCCTGAGTGCAGTCCCTGAGTCCAGCTGACCTCGCGCGGGCCTTGGTGTTTGAAATCCGAACTCTCACAGCTGACCCTTGCTGTTTTGCATGACGCGCAGGGTGAAGCAGGGGACATCGGCCCAAGGGTAAGTACTGACAAGACGTGTTACTTTATTCCAAACTCTGGTTGGGCTTGGTCATCGCAGAAAACAAGGCTTTGTGCAGCTTTGTCATGCAAGCTGCAGAGCGACCGCAGCTCTGAGGACGTTTTGTTTTGCTTTGAAGCTCTGTCTGTTGGTGTTCTCCCTAACTGTGAATATGGGGGGGAAAGAAGTTCAAGATTTCCAGGCACTTAGTGAAGGGCTTTGCTTTTCCTGTTCCTGATTCTCCCTCCCAAGCAGCAAAGACAAGACAGTCTCCGAGCTTGCCTGGTAGCCACGATCCTAGCCAGCATTTCAGCAGGAACACATGGCACTAAGACCCCAAGGCAAGGCCTGACACGCCACAGTGCCCGATGGAAACCTTGTTCTCTCTGTTACTCTCATGGGAGTGGGGCCACCAGAGGAGCTCAAACTCATCTTGGAGTCCCCTTGGGCTTCCTTAGAGCCAGATAGGGGCATTAAAGTGCTCCATTGCTTAATGCTAGCCTGAGTGCTTGCATGGCTGATGAAGCCACATGTGAAAGGTGGAGGAAGGCCTCCCAGCCATCACCATCGTTGCGACAAAAGCCACTCAGGGTCTGGCTCCAAAGGCAGGAGAAGATGAGGGCCATCTTGTCCACCCAACTAGAATGGGACATGGTCTGGTGGGAGGTTTTCTGGTGGAACGTGACTTGTGACGTTGGCCTGGATGACTTTCTCTGCCCTGGGTCATCAGGACACCGTGTTTCCTGCTATGTTACCATTTAGTACCACCACACAGATGTTTATTGCAAAGACACAGCCTGGTATTTACAGTTTGTAGGCGGGGAAGGTGACTGTTTTACGGAGTGCTTTATCACTTCCCACCAGCTCCTACTGAGGGAAGGTGAAATGTAGGCTGTGCTCCGCAGGTGAACATAGCGGGCGCTTGGCGGGTGAGGAAACTGCTCTCGGAGTCGGTCATCGCCCTCGGAGTTGAACATGAGCATCCCATGGCTAAAGGTTCAAAACTGTGACAGGTCTAGCCACCTTGCAGAAGTGTGTTGGATTTGGAAGAGTGGTTGCTGTGGGGCCAGTAGGGTGGTTCTGGTGGTTCTGTTTGGTAACGGTGCACGTGCAGCTTGGAGAGCCCTATGGTGGTGCAAGACACAAGCCCAAGGAAGGGGCAGAGCTGGGCTCGCCAGCCAGAGCTCATGCTGGTGGGAAACGCTGAGCCCCGTGCAGTGCCAGATGGCACGAATTGCTGGTTAGATGCTGGTCTGCAATTAAAAAGCTTTGAAATGATTCAGTGCTCTGCATGCCGAGGAGCTCCCCGGGCACTGCTGGGGCTTGAGGCACCCAACGCTGGCAGCACGGGCTCCAGAGCCAGAGGTGGGATTTGGAAACGTGGCTGGGGTCTCACTGGTTAATGTTGGGCAGCAATGCTCTGTGGTCCTTTTCCTTTTGTTCCCTTAGAGACTTCTCAAAATCACTTCTCAAAATCGGTGTCATCTTCTGAAACAGCTCCCAACTGCCCTGGGTGCCTTTAGAGACGTTACCCTCCTCTTCTCAAAGCCAATAGCTTTTCAGATAGATTTATCCTCTGCTTGGCATCAGCCTCCAGTCTCAACTTCGCTTAACTGCCCACCCACATATTCTGAGCAGGCTTTAAGCGCGACTCAGCTGCACCCGGATGTGATTTATTTTACTCTTGGCCCCGGTTCTGGCCGGGGATCTGGGTGGCTTTGGGAAGGCAGCAGCCTGGGGGCCCGCGCATGGCCCGACCGAGCTGGGGACTTGTTCACTGCGCAAGGAGACCCCCTTCCAGCTCGGGAGCCCCATGGATCGGCCTGGACAGCGCAGGAGGGTGGGCTTGGTCTGGGCTCCAGCTGCAGGTGCTGGCTTCTAAGGTAACCCTTCTCCAGGCTCTTCATTTACTGTTAAGAATATATGCTTTGTGTTTCAACTGATATGCATTTGTCTAGCTTTTGCTTTTACATTTAGGGTTTTCTTATGATTCATTCTCTAAGAGGAAGAAAATTGCTCACAAACGATTTGGCAGGAAAGAGGGAAGAAAGCTGTGGCTAGGGCTAGCGACCTGTGTCCAACTTAGGCACATGCTTCTGCAGCCCCTCATGGATATAGTTTGGATATGAAACTTCCTGATACTATCTGGCCTAGATTATTTTTTGTTTCTTTACCAAATCTGTCTTCTTTCTGGAGTTTCTTTGGCGGCTTTGTTTAGCTGATTTTGAAAACTGTGTCACAGCCCGTCGGCTTATCAGCAGAAAGATAAATAAGCGTGAGTGTTCTCTGCCAGGGTGGTAGAGAAGGGATAGAGTGTGTCAAGGAGCACAAATACATTATCACTGGGAAGGATGGATTGGTAGGGACTAATCTGTGGGGTTTTGGAGGGCTTTGCGAGGAAAGCGAGGTCAAGATGATGAAGAAACAGATTTTGTTCCCTGGTAGCCTGTGGCGGCTGCTGAATGGTCCCCATAGCCTGAGGAGCTCTTGGCTGAGCTCTCCGAAGCCTGGGAATTGGCAGCAGGAGGCTGAACACCAGGAGATGGGACAGGCGGAGCTCCGGCACCAAGGAGGCAGGAGAGAGCAGAAGCAGACTGAGACCACCGTGTCTTGCTACCTGTGCTTGCCTTTCTGCTTGAGAACCAAGCATATCATTACACCTCTAAAAGCCACTTGTTTTTTCCCTGCCAGAGCTGAGCTGGCTCTTGGGTGACCTCCCTGGCTGGTGTGATCTTGTTCTCACTGACGAATGTGCCCACAAATGGTGGGACCGATGACTTCTTGCACATCTGGGCTGGATTCCTTCTCACAAAGGGAAATGACACTTCAGCCTGTGCTTCTCCTTGCTCAGAGAGCCTGTGCATGACGTCCTTCAGGAAAGGAGAAGGAGACAGCAGGGTGTGAGCTCCTGGAGGAGGTCAGGCTGAGGGAGAGCCAGGAAGAGCCGTGGGCTTTGCCCAAAATTACCTGGGTGCTTCCCAGCGGTGAGGGCGGCTGGCTAAGAATGGCTGGAGCGACGGCCGCCTGGTTCAGGGTTTAGCTGATCCGAGCTTGACTTGGTGTCCGAACATACCATAAAAACCTGTTGTCCCCGAAGTGTTTGGTGCTTTCCTGCTCGGTTGCGAGCACCGTTGAAGAAGTCTGCAGCAGGCACTGTGCTCCGCGAGGCTCTTGGGGTGGGTGCTGGCCTGGGGCAGGTGCTGGCAGCTGCCTGGCTAACCTGGCACGCCGATGGGCTCCCGGCGCTGCGATTCCACAGCTTCTTCCTTCCTGCAGACAGATAAGTGCTTGCCAAGCTGGGATTGCACATAACTGCGCTGCACTTAGCAGCGTTCGCTGCGAAAGCCAGCGTAAAACCATGTGGATGCTCTTTTATTTGTTTATTTTTGACAGTGTTAAAATAGCTGAATCAAGTAGTCTAAAGCTGGAAAGTGCCAGCATGCAAGGATTCTTTGCTATGAGAGGGATTTTTTCCCCCCGCCAGGGAACTCGGTAATTATAGGAGCAATCTTCAGAAGGGAAGAGCACTTTGCCCAAGAGGTGAAGCTGCTTCTTGGATGTCTCAGGTTATGAGCTTAGAAAATGAGGAGCAGCTGGGCTGCATCCAGAGCCATCCTGGCCTCTTTCCTCCTTACATGTGTGGGGATGGGACCCTTGGGGCTACAGGGGTGCATTCGTGGGAGGCAGCTGGGTGCTGTGGGATCCTCTACTTGAAGTGTATATAGTGTTGCACTTTGAATTTATAAATAATAGGGAGGGAGGCAAAGCTGGTCAAGATGAGGATGCTGCTTTCTGTGACCTTAGCCGTAAGTTACCTTACCTGTTGGCTGTATAAAAGCAGTACCAGGCAGATAAAAAAAAATATGAATAGTTTCTAGCTAGCCCCATTCCCCGTGACCAGATGCCCATGGGAGAGAGCGCATTGGGAGCAGGAACGTGGTTCTGTCGCGTTCCTGCACCGGAGATGGTGCTTTGTGTTTAGTAGCCCCTAAGGACTCTTTGTCTTTCATGGGCCCAGCTGTAGGGGCTTGTTTAAAGCAAGCTGGGAGACAGCTGGTGTGATGGGACATGGGGTGTTTGGTCTCGAATGAAATGTAAGGGGTCATTCCGTGTTCCGACAGACACCGCCGGCTCCCATCCGGGTCCGGGAGACCTTTACTGCATGGGGTTGAGTCGGTGGTGTTCGGAGAACGAAGGATCCTCCTGCTTTGCTGCAGATAGATGAAGTAGAAAGGCTAGAAGACAATAGCAATGACTGATGACATGGCCTGAATACATTGTTTTTGCATTGTATAAATCTGAGAGATTTATCAGTATTTTGTGGACTGGGGAGCACATCAGTATTCATTTTAGCCTTGGAAAAAAAATATAATATTTAGTCTCTGGAGAAATGCTGGGGTCTCTCCCGTGGGTTGTGCTGGAATAATGCTCTTTATTCTGCAGAAAGGCCCTGCAGTGGGGGAAGCTTCTATCCCCCAGCAGCGCTGAATGCACTATTGTGCGCTAAGCTAATGAAGAGAGATTTGCTTTCCTTGCCTGTGCGCTGCTTACGAAGCCTCCTCTGAATCCAGAAGGTTAAAATGACCTTTTTTTTTAAATCTAGATTATTTCCTACTCTTACACCAATTAATTATTGGAGATAAATTGTTAGGTGTTGTCTATAGCCTGTAGAACCCACTGTCTGGCTGCACTTTCATCATAAATCCTCCTTCTCTCCTGTCCTGCCTCCTGTTTCCCTGGCTAGATGGTTTTCCCCCGCCTCAACCATGGATTTCTGGCTAATGATCAGCTTGTCTTTAGCCGACGGGTCCTCAAGGTAGACGTGTCCAGTCTGCTGCTGCTGGTTTGCTGTGGAGTTGGCTTAATGTCTGGGTTTTTTGGACTGCTCGCATGCTGTTGCTGTTTTCAATTGGAGCTACCACGAGCTGCATTAATAAGGTGCTTGTTTTGGGGTACACTTGGGCAAAACTTTGGGACTTTGGGGGAGTTTTGTCAAAGTAAGAAGAGCTAAAGTCACTTTCTTAAGCAACTGAATCCTCTCAGGGAAATGGAAATAAAGAAGCCAAATCCTATAGATGTTCCCAGGACAGTATGAAGAGTGCTGATACTGTTAAATTAAATGCATTAAAAATGTGATTGTCTAAATCCTCAGTCCTTGAAATGTAGCTCTTGTAATTAGGCAAAATTCCATGGGAGCCCCTTGGCATAATTGGATGCAGCGCTCAGGATTCGCAAAAGCATCTTTACCGGTGATGTAAGTGATTTAGGAGCACGGCCCCTGCTGAAGGGCGGCGAGGTTTGTGCTGTTAAGTCATGTAAGGACTTCTGAAAATCCCCGACTCGTCCTTTCTTTGAGGGCGGCCCACGTAGGAGCTGCTGCCTCGCCGCCCTCCCGGCCAGACGTGGCCGGCAGCGTCACGAGCCGCCCTTTCCGGAGGGTTTGGGTTGTGACCCCCATGTCGGATGCTCCGGGCGGCACCGCGGCGGAGCCTGGAAGCGGCAGGGAAGGCGGCGCGGAGCCGGGAGCGACGTGGCCGCTTGCGCCCTCGGCTGCGTGCCGCTGAGCGCTGCTCTTTGGGGCTGTTTTTGGTGTGGTTTGCTGCGAGTGTGTGCATGCCCCAGTCAGCATGCTCTTGGGTGCCCGTGATTTTTGGGTGCTACTAATTCAGGGGTTGCAGCACAGAGCTCAAAGGGAAGAGATAACCTCTTCAGGTGGCGTTGACCCAACCCTAGTTGAAGAACAAGGGTTCTTCAACTTGGGCTTGGACCAGCCGCCTTGGGCTGCAGCTTCGTCTCACAGTGTCTGTGTGAACTTCTTGCAGGGCGACCAAGGTCGAGATGGAGCCACTGGCCCCCCTGGCCCACCGGGACCCCCCGGTGCCCGGGGGCCTCCTGGTGATAGAGGCAGAGATGGCCCAAGAGGACCTCAAGGCCCCCTTGTAAGGACCGTCGATGTGGAATATTGGTGTTTGCGGTTCTTGCCCCACCAGCTGCTCTCTGGTCTGCATTGCAGCTTCCCCAGAGCCAGAGCTGCACTGTGGATTTGTGCCTGTGGGTTGCGGTTTGCAGCAGAGTCCAGAGGGTTCCTTGTCAGTGATGGGTGGCCTTCAGACCTGCTGCAGATCTCCAGATCACTAGCAATTTATTGGTCACATAATTATGCAGAAATGTGGTGCTCTTGACCATCTGTAGGGATCTCTGATACCTACAGATTTTGAGCATTTTGAACATTTTCGAGACCATGCAATATTAGCTCCAATATTGTCCTTTTCTGTTTTTGCAGGGTTTTAAAGGAGAGCCAGGAGAGGATGGTCCCGTGGTTAGTATTGCCCAAAAGTGTCCATGTTGGCCTTAACCAGCTACCTGGCTGTAGTGAGGGCAGCTGGGTCCTCTCTTGCCCGTGTTGCTTTGCATCAGCCTCTCTGCAGCAAGAGGTTTAGTGTCGTGGCTCTCTAAGGCCAGAAAAACATGGGAAATTATAGAGGTCCTCTATGGACATTGGTCCATCTTAAGGAATTCCCTGAGCCGGGGCACTTGCACCCGCGGGAAGGCAGGTAAGCTCTGCCCCCATAGCTCTCCAGGGTGATTTTCCTCCTAAATGACCCACTCCTGCCCTGCTCTGCAGGCTCCCAGGGGTAGATAGTGTGGGTTAATAGTCCTTGGGGCTGTTAGTCCCCGTTATTTCCTGGGAGTGCAGAGAGCTTGAGGCTGTGTTTGTAGGTGAACATGAGATGAGGAGTTGGCATCTGTGTCGTGCTTCCATGGGGCTTAAAGTACTCTGGGAAGATTTTTATCCTGTTAGACTTTATTGGCAAATAAATATACCGCCTAATTTTATGTTCAACAGGGTGCCAGGGGACCTCCAGGACCAAAGGTGGGTATTAAGTAATTAATTATCTGTCTCTTTTTTACCAAGTCAAGAACTCTTGAGATATTGCTATGCAAGGGGGTGGAGAGGAACACATTTGTTTCAGCATCAGTCAGATGAAGCCTTTCCAAGATATAAAATTAATTAGTGACTTGAAGCTGCAAATGTCTGTTTGAACGGGCCAACCAAGAGCCCCTGTCCAAGCTAAAACTTGGTGCTTGGGAGCCCAGGGTCACATCGCGTGGGGATGGGACATGGGGACACGGGGATGGGAAGCTGGACTCTGGAGTGTACTTGATTGCATTTTGGGGAATACAAGAGAGAAAATGCAAGGCTGGTGTCTTGACTTTACAATTAATATTGGGTGTCTATTCATTGGTTTTGTTTTCTGTTGTTTCCCTCAACTTCTTTCCCATGTTTGGTGGTGCTGCAGGGTGAGCCCGGCGTCCAGGGGAAACGGGTAAGACGGGGCTTTGCTCTGCTCTGCTCGGGGGACCTGTTTGTGGAGCAGAGCGAGGGGCCGCGGTCCCGAGGCGCTTCCCTGCGCGCGATCCTGCACCCACAGCCTGGTTTTCATTACCACGGAGGGGCTGGATCTCACATCTGCCCGAAAGACAAAGAATAAAGGGGCGAATGCCAAGCAAAGCAGTAGGTCCGAGCCCTTTTACTGGAACGCTGGAGCCGGCCCAAGCGGCCGTCGGGAGCTGTTATCTCCCGGCAAGCCCTGGCTTTGGAGCCTCCGGGTGGTCCCTTCTCGTGGGAATTTCCCCCTGGCTTTGGGGCAGGCTCTTGGTGTGGCTCGTGCCTCCCAGCCAGTGGAGGTTCCCATGTCCTCGCTGTCCACGTTTTCCTCGCTCGGTGCCACCAAGCAATAAATAAATCAGTGCCTTTCACTGCAACCAACGTGCTGACAGCCCAGCCTCGCTCTCTTACCACTCAGCCCCAGAACAGATGGGGCCCTGTGCGTTTTTCAGGCCAGAATCTGGCTTAAAATCATATAACTTCCCAGCAGAATTAACCTTCTCTGGACCTACCAACCGGATTTGCTTCGGGCACCATGAGCTTGGCAGTAACGTGGCCCATGGCACCGGCAGGTCTCTGAAGGCAGCGGGTGCAAGGAGCCGAGCTCTGTGTTTCATTCATTGTGTTTCTATCCATCAGGGTGATGATGGGATCCCAGGGGAGCCAGGACTTGCGGGTGCCAAGGTAGGTTGCCCCTAACCCTATGTGTCCCGCTAACTGGATGTGGGAAATATTGTGGTTTGTTTTAGGCTAAAAGCAAGAAGTTTTGCTTATTCCTAACGGTAAAACTAAAGCATGAAAATGTGTAGAAACCTGCTTTCCACCCTACCCATATAGCTTTAAATCCTACTTTCAGGGAGAGAAAGGAAGCCCTGGTCCAGTGGGAGAGAATGGCACGGATGGTTTACCAGGAGCCAAGGTAAATACGAGTCCCTTAGCCTGGGAGTGGGGGGCAATGATGTGGGGCAACGTGTTTCTCCTGCATAGGTGTTTTAGCCCTTGGTTTCCAAAAATAAAATGCTCATTTAAAAAAAAAAGCCAAAAATGCAGGAAAAAATGGGGGTGTTGTGAGAAGCATGTTGCTTTTTTCCTGGTAGTTGATTAAAAAAATATTGATTCAGAGATCAATAAAAGAGGCGTTAAGATCACAATCTTAAGTTCTCTTATTTTCCTTGCTGTTTCTGAATCAAATCGTGATGTTCTTTTCCAGGGTGAACCTGGGGAGAAGGGAGGGATCGGCTCCATTGGACCACGGGTACGAACATTCGGGTTTTGCTTGGGTTGCTTTGGCATCATTTGTTTGCCTGGTCGGTTCACCACCACCTCCATCTAGATAGACATTGTTGAATAATTGAATTATTTCATTATTAATCATATCATTTTTGAAAGTACATATTATGCATTGATTACATATTAGGTACATACATTATTAGAAAATACAGCTCATTTAAATGAACTTTGCTGCTGGAGATAGCACTGGGAAATGCAGTAAATTCCCATTTTCTTACTAATGTAGTCAAAGGATCTCTCTTTAATTTTATTTAATTTTATTTAATTTTATTTAATTTTATTTAATTTTATTTAATTTTATTTAATTTTATTTAATTTTATTTAATTTTATTTAATTTTGCAAGAGGGAAACTGTGTGTAGGGTCTCATCAAGCAGCAATTCAATGTGCTTCCCAATTGCATGCACGAGATGCGAGTCCCTTTGAGATGTGGTTAGGCGAGAGGTATGGGAACTGATTTAATCAGAGGTCATTGCAAGGTGATAATTGGTAATTAATTACTGATTAAGGTGTGCAGATGCACACCTGCAGCTGCAAAAGCCGCCTGTGGTTTTGCCCTGGCTGCAGGGTCCGCCGGGGCTGAAGGGCGAGCAGGGCGACACGGTGGTGATCGACTACGACGGCCGCATCCAGGACGCGCTCAAGGTGAGCCCGGCCGCGGGGTCCCCTTGGACAGGCGGTCGCCCCGTGGGGGTTTTCGGGGGGCTGCGCTGCGGCCGCGCTGACCCCGCTGCCTTTGCTGTGTTTCAGGGCTCGCCGGGACCGCCGGGGCCACCGGGACCCCCCGGCGCGCCAGGGCCCAAGGTCAGTCGGCCCCGCGGGTTCTTAGGGTTTGTCCCTCTGCCCCCGTGGCCCAGAACTGTCTCCTAGTTCCCTGGAAACACGGATGTAGTGCAGCCTGCGAAGGTTGGGACTCCAGGTGCTAAAAAAATGTTGTTTAACACGTCCCTGGTTGCACAAAGTGGGTTTTCCCATCAAAGGCCAAGGTTAGTGGGTCTCTTCCTCCATCTTTGACCTCTACCAGAGGAAGGTGTCCCTGAAAGGCATCCCCTTTCCCCAGGAATCCCAGCTCCTCTGGACGTTTTCCCATTGCACATGGTGGGAGTTGGAAGTAAATGGGAAAACAAGGCCCCAACACACGGGACCTGCGGCTGCGGCAGTCGGTGCAAAACAAGTGTCTCGTTTCCTTGCAAAGCGCGTTCCCGACATGCTGTGCTGACTCTCTTTTCCTTTGATTCCCTTGCTCCGTGTCACTGCAGGGAGAGCTGGGGCTGCCCGGGCCGCCCGGACTCGACGGTGAAAAGGTGCGTGGTGCTCAGCGGGCTGCAACGCTGCGGGGTTGAGCAGGGTCTAGCTGTGCTCTTAAAAGCCAAGCTCAGCCTTATTTGCAGTCCGTATCCATGCGGATTTAATGGTAAAACACCAAATTCCTGTGAGCTCACGATGCAGTCTGCAGCAGAACAGCAGCGGAGCAGGGGAGCCCGCGGTGCTTTGGGACACGCACGCCTGGGCTTTGCTCCTCAGCAAGGTGTTTTCTGCAAACTTACAGGGTCCCAAAGGAGCCAAAGGTGACCAAGGAAGCGCAGGGATAATGGGACCGAAAGGCGAGACGGGAGAAATGGGTTTATCTGGTCCCCCGGTACGTCAGTCTGTCTGTCCGCGTGTGTCTGTCGCTTAGTGTCTTAGCTCTTAAAGGCATTAGTTGCTTGCACAAAACTGTAGCATGGGGAAGAGAAGTACATTTTTCCTTCCTGCTTTTCTGGAAGATGCATGACACGAGGTTTGAATTCCCCTCTTTTAGGGAGCTGACGGAGCAAGAGGAGAGAAAGGAGAGAAAGGAGAGACGGGATCCCCGTGTTTGCAGAATAACCACGTAAGGCCAGGCACGGTGATGCCTCTCCAGCGAGCAGAAAACAGCTCTTTTCCATGCAACTTTGCAAATCCCTCTAGCAAGTTCATTCCTTAGGGAGTACCGTTTTGCAAAGGTAGTTCAGGTTTTGCATTGATGGAGTCATTCAATGCCACTGCTGTAGTTATGTTTTGCTCTAACAGAGTGCTGGAGCTTCCAGGCAGTTTTTATAGAGTTTCTGCATCTTTTCCTTGCTTTTTTTGTGTCTTTTTTTTTTTTAATGGAAAAGTTGATGGATTTTGGTATTTCTTTTATTATTATTGTTAATGACATGAGAGCTCCAATTTTGTTCTTTTTTAATCAAAGAGGCCACTCTTCTTGGGTCTGTGTGGGAAATGACATCATTTTCCATTGCATTTGGTTGAGAGCAAATATATGGAGTAGCTTGCGAAACTCCTCTGATTTGAGGCCAGCGAGGTTTGTGTGCTCAGTAATAAATGCATTTGTTTATAAGCATTTTGGGGAGGAGCTGCCCGGGCACCCTGTGTTCTGGGGGTCGTGGTGCTGCTGTCCCCAGCCCCTCTGATGTGTCCCTTGTTTCCTTCCTGCAGATCATCCCAGAGCCGGGACCTCCTGGACTGCCCGGCCCCATGGTAGGAGACCGCAGAGCAGTGTGATGAGCAGGGCCGGTGGTTTTAGAGGGGCTTCCCTAGGGGCTTGGAGCCCATAGCCCTTCTCTAGGGGCCTGGGGCCACAGCTCTGAAGGCTGGAGAGGCTAGTGGGCCACAGTGATGATCCTGATGATCCCCTTGGCCCACCAGCCTCAGCACAACAGGGCGTAGCAGGGTGTAGAGCGTGTTGCTCTACACCATCACAAAAGCTTTGGCCGCAGTTGCTCTCCAGAGTTAATTTTCTAAGATGTTCTCTCTGCATGTTGTGCAATTCAGCAGTTTTCACTTCCCCTTCCCACCAGTTTGACGCTGGAGAGCCAAATAAACTCCCACCTGTCTTGAAAGGCGCAGCATGGCTGCTGTCAGACACGATTGGGGAAGCAAAGGTCTTGGTGTGCTTTCAAATCCTGCTTTTCTCATGTGCCATTGTCTTCCCTGCAGGGTCCTCCCGGAATCCAGGGACCTAAAGTAAGTCAATAAGCTAAATGTCACCCACTTCCCCCACTGCCAGGCATTATTTGCAGGATCACAGGGGACTGTCAGCTCCGGGGCCTGATGTGTGTGCGTGACAACACATCCCTTGATTGTGCTGTTCAGCAGCTGGCGGTTTTGAAAATGGGCCATTTTTCCTCCAAAATACATTTCTGCTCTTAGATTCCCCTTCACCATGGAGTCCTGGTTGTCTGCAGTACATTCAAGTCAGGCTTTCCATGCTCACAGGCTTTGACCTTCATTTTGAGATGCTTCTCCTACGGTCTAGTCAAAAAGGAAATGTTAATGGCCATGAGGGTGTAAACTTTGCCCAAATCTTGGGGTTTTAGTTCCCTCTAGCTCCAACACGAGGTAGCAGTGCAGGCTGGTTGTCCTCACCTTGGCCCTGGCATCCTGCTGGTGGCCCATGTAATCACTCGTCCTCCTTGGGCATGGTCCTCCTCACCTCGAGCAGCTCCCTGGAACATTGAGGGCCGTTTCGGAGGCCTCCGTGGCCTGTTCTGGGGTTGACATCTCTTTCTTCACACAGGGCTTGGATGGTGCCAAGGGAGAGAAAGGCGACAGCGGTGAGAAAGGGGAGCGTGGTGACGCTGGGCCAGCCGTGAGTAGCGCTCTCATATCCGATTAATGATGGAAAGCTGCCTTTCAGCAACCGTCCAAATGCTTTTTTTCTTTCTTTCTTTTCCTTTTCTTAAGGGTCTCCCTGGTGCTCCAGGACTTATCGGTTTGCCCGGCACCAAAGGCGAGAAGGTGGGTGCTGAGAGGGGATTGAGGGCGGCAGCGCTCCCGGCTCCCGAGCGGGACCCGATGCACCGCGCTGCATTGGGCACTGAGGACCTGCTTTAGGGTGGATTTACTCACTGGAGTCACTAGGAGTTGCTCCTAGTTAGAAGGCTTAACCTAAATGTACTTTAGGACACTGTAAACTTGGAGCTGGGAATTAATTTAAGTTGGGCTTGTTGTGGCTGCCGTTACCCAGGGGTTACAGGACTGAGGAGTATTGGCCAAGCTGCCCATCTGAAGGGTGTGCAAGTTGTGGGCTGCAATTGCATGGCCTTTCAGGGTCCCTACCTACCTTCCCTATTCAAGGCCACTAATGCAATAGATTTCTTAGTTTTGCCAACGTTTGTCTCCATAACTGTAGTGTCAGAGTTGCTCCCTTCAAGGACCTGCCTCTTCTTTAGGGCCTGGTGTTGATTGAATGACTAATCTGTGGTGTACTGAGGCCAAAACTGCAAACCAGGAAGGTCACGGAAAGCCATGCAGGCGCCAGCGTTTCAGTAGTATTTAACCAAAAGTCTATCAGTCTGCCTGCAACGTTACACTCAAATATGGCTTTTTTTTTGTGTTTTATTTTTCGCTAACTGCAGGGAAAGCCGGGAGAGCCAGGATTAGACGTGAGTATGGAAGCCCTCTCTGTGCTGTGGAGAAACATGAGCAACGTGCATGTAAAGACCATCAAACTGAGGGACATCTCATGAAAATACACAGCTAGCATTACATCTACATTCAATTTACTAATTTCAATTTACAATAAATTCAAGGTGCCCTGTGGATGCCAGCAGGAAATACTTAATTCAAGGCAGCTCTAGTTCTGACACCCCACGTATTATTTCCCAACTAAGGTGCTGGGGGAGTTTCTCTTCTTTTTTATTGAGAATAATTTGGCTGGACTCAGTGCAATGTTACCAATAAAGCGCAGGCTTTCCCAAGGAGTTGCTGAGATACTGAGGGGAAAAAGGAAGGAACTGTCACGTTCCTCATCCTGGGAGGCCGGGCTGAGCACTTGGGCTTGGCCGTGGGGACCAGGGAGACGGGGGTGCTGGGACCTCTACAAAGTCAGCTTGCAAAACTCTCTTTCTTTTGCCTACAAATGGCTGTGACAGGGCTTCCCGGGCCTACGAGGAGAGAAAGGAGAAAGAAGTGAGAGAGGGGAGAAGGTGAGTGGCAGGGTGCGATCACCACCGGTTCCCCTGGCCGTGGTGGGAGCGGGTGGGAAGCTTCACGGGGGGAGCTGGAGGGACCTGGCAGCTCTTTTGGGAGAAAAAATATTGGATTTTGGTTTCCCAGACCTCCAAAAGGCATGTGAACCAGAGGTCTGTTACCTCAAATAAAGCAGAGCCGAGCAGGAGGGCCGGGAGGGGACAGAGCTGCACTGAGGAGCTTCCTGCAGAGCAAGGGCTGCCCGAAACCATCTACTGCCCCGCACTGACCTCCTGGCCAGCAAGATCCAGCCAATCTGCTACAAAATTAATATAACGTACCAGAACATTCCCACTCAGCTCCGAAAGAAGATCTGCACATTTGTCCTGTTCCACAGTTGAGGTTGTGTTAGTGCAGATGGCCCTGGGTGGAACAAGGTGTGGAGCAGGGTTCTTGCATTCATGGTGCTGCTAGAATTGAGTCGTCCTTTCCTTTCCTCTCGTCCTTTCTGCCCGTGATGTGTTTTCCCTTTGGCCGCAGGGCGAGCGAGGAATTCCAGGGAGGAAAGGAGCCAAAGGGCAGAAAGGGGAGCCGGGCCCTCCGGGGCTGGACCAGCCGTGTCCGGTGGTAAGTCCTGCGTTTCATCCCTGCTCGTGGGGTGCACCTGTGGGGTGCATCTCGTGCCGGTGCTCGTGGCCCTGCAGCCGGGATGGCCGCGCGCCGGGGGCTTCAGCGACGGCCCGTGGAGAATGACCCTGCCGAGCGCTCGCTCGCGTGTTCGGGATAGGGGACACGGGATGGAGGCTCTGTTCACCTCGTAGCTCCTAGCAAACACTCATACTGGTTTGTATGGAGTTACTTGGTATTGTGGATTTACCCCCTTTTCATTAGTGCTCTTCGTTTAGTGACTGCAAATGGGGGCATCCATTTGATAACCCGCTTTGGGACTGCGAGATTAAACCTGGAGGTAATTTCTACCAACCATTGCCCTGAACTGCCAGTTGTGGTCCCAAACTGACTCCGGATTAGCTTGTAGAGCTAAGGAGAGCAACAGGAGCCCGTGGTGGTGGGTACCTGCCCCAAGGCGCTCCGCACACCCCCTTCTCCCACAGCCTGGTGCGGACGAGTGACGTCCCCCTCGCTTTGCCAGCACCGCTGCTGACAAAAGCAGTCGTGCAGCCCAAAACCCCGCGTTTCCCTTGCTCAGCACATGAGCCCCGAGGGATTCCGCTGCTCCGAGAGCTCCCCTGCCCTTCCCCGTGTGCCGGCGATGCTTCTCCCTCCTCGCTTCAGCTGCGACGCGCGCGTCTCCTCGTGCTGCGTCCCAGCTCACAGCCCTGACGGGCTCCGGGGCTTCCCGGCCGCAAATCCGCTCTGCTGAGGTGCCACGTCATCGGGATGTACCACATTCCAAACCTGCTCTTTCTGCGGAAACACAGACGTGTCCCTTACAGTCCTCCACAAGCAGTTATTTCTTTAAAACAGGGAGGTCGTAATGCTGAAGGCAACCGAGGGGAGCCAGGTCTGCCAGGCCTGGCTGGTGTGAGCGTGCCCTGCTCTTTGGCACAGTGAGCTTGCTCGTTTTCCTTTCCTGCATGGTTTTTGTGTCTGTTTCTGCGGCTGCCAAGCCCTTTCCCAAGGACCAGGTCCCTCTAGGGAGAGAAAGGAACGTCCATCAGCGGAGCACAAACAAGATCTTTCGCTGGGGTCTCCTGCTCCGAGTGCCAACGTGCTGTGCCCGCTTCCCACAGCTCAAGCTCCTTAGTGCAAGGAAAAGGAACTTTTGGGAATTTTAGGAACATTTAGGAATAAACACTAGAAGTTCTTCTTGGTTGTCTCACTCCCTGCAACCTCTCTTGGGAGCCCTGTGCGTCCCACAGCCCTGCGAGGGCTCCCGCTGGCTCCGTCCCGCTCCAAACGGCCACGGGAGCCGCAGCTCTGCTGGGCTCAAGGGCTTCCCCACTCGCCACGCGGCCGCTCATGCTCGGCAGGAAGCTCAGGTCCAAGCCCAGAGATTATTCCGAAAGGTTCATGCTGCACAGCTAGCTAAAGGAGGTCATTGTTTTATTTCCCCCTCTCTTGAATTGAGGAAAATGCTGCGTGTCGGATGATTTGCAGTCGTCTTCAGAGAAACAAAAGGGCAGCGAGCTGTCTCTTTTTCCAAACGTCAAATTGCTTTCACATGTGTGAAGAAGTCAAGTATTAGCAGCAGGCCCTTTCCGACGCTTCCCAGGAGCTCCCCAGGGATGTCGTGTTTACCAGGCATTTCCCACCCTAACCGTGCAGAATGCACAAGACCTACCTACCCTGCACTGTAAACAGCTGGAGGTGGTTCCTCCTATAGAGAGCTACGAGGAGAGTGGTTAATAGAGCACCTTGCGTGTCCCCGTGTGCCAGGGTTAGCTGCATGTTGTGTGCAAGTGTCCTTCTGCACCCTGTATGGATGGTTGCTGTGCTCTCCTCATTGCCTTCTGCTCGTAGCACGGACCTGACATGCTGTTTGCAAAGACTTTTGGGGCCAGTTGGGGGAAACCTGGTTAAAAACGTGGCGCGTTTCACGAGACACGGCTGTTGAGAGCAGCCAAGGGAGGAAAGGGCCGGCAGTCAGCCCAGCAGCAGGTCGGGACGTGCGGCTCTTCCCGGGGCAAACGCAGAGCGCTGCCCCTTTCGCCCCTCACCCCAGACGACTCCGATAGCAATGCAGGTTGGACTTTTTTTTTTTATTAATAGATACAGAACAAAATATTGACTGGTGGCAGCAGAAAAGGCTGTAGGAAACCTAGCTACAGTTTATCTGATAGGGAAGTACGTGAAAAACACTCGGTTCACGGCTCGGTGTACTCAATTGGTGCACTAAGAGTAGCTAGAGAGGGTAGCCTTACTTCACTGTGTCTGTTTTATTGGGCAGAGGCTATTTTTTACATATAAAATCAATACAGAATACAAAAAATGCGATGACTTGACATTTACAGTAGAAAATGTAGAAAATGCATTTTGACCTACAGTTGCGCGAGCAGTTTTCTCCGCTGCGGTGCATCCGTGCGCCTTGCAAGCCCTAGGGGACGTGGAGGTGGCTCTGAGGGAGGTGCAGGGCCCCGCGCGCTCGGTGGCTCTTCTGCACGTGCAGAAACTCGGAAATCAGAGATCCAAGAGCCTTAAAGCAAAACCCCACGGGAGGAAAGGCAAGTCAGCTGTTTCCTTCTGAAGTATCTTGAATGACAGTTGGCCATACATAGTCCATTCTGCTCCTAAGGGTTTCCTTCCATTCACTGTTTTCCTCCTGCTAGGAAAGCGCTCTTGGCTTTCGTACTTTTTTCATATATCTCCATCAGGAAAAAAAAAAGACAAGTATTTCCACGCTTACTCCCTTTGCATAGTCCACAACTCATCCTATTCCAAGCAGTTCGGCAACCCAAGGTTTCTCAAAGAAATTAAGCACTGCAGAATCAAATTTAACAACCAGCGTATCATTTAAAAAAAAAAAAAAAAAGGAAAAAAAAAAAAGAAAAAAGCAAATTTCGCCCCCCTGCAGTCTGAAATGCACATATTAACAAAAGGTACATTGCCACATCATGTTTTCAGTGCATATGCCTAATCACAAATAGTCTTTTAAAGCAGATTATGAAATTAATTAGCTGTGGTTCCAGTTTTTTGTTTACATTTTCTTTTTTGCTTAAAGAAAGAAGTGTGGTTATTTTTTTTTCTTTCCCCCACCCTGGGCTGTATTCAATTTTGCGTTACGCTTGACACACACATTACATTGCCTGCATATTTTTCTGTTGGTTTCTGCATAGATAAAGTACATGGGGTTTTGCATGGTAATTGTTTTGAATTGTGCTGCTGAGTCTTTCATCGTGGTGAGGACTGGACCTCAGGCTTTGGGGTGTGACACTGAAGTCAGCAGAAATTAAAATGTGTAAATTTGCTTTTGCAGGGACCAGATGGACTGCCAGTAGCAGGATGTTGGCACAAGGTACGGTAAAAATAACTATTTATCCGTGAGGAGGCAGAGCAGTTTTGGCTGCACTGTGACTGCTTGTCCTGCTCTGTTTCCTTTGAACCCTATGGAGACAGTGTCGAGCCTGGCAAGGAGTTCATCTAGTTTGGCATCGTGTTCCCCACACTTGTAGGGAGGTTTCTGCCCAAGAAGTGGGAAAAACGCTTCCCAAACTCACTAACCCTGAAAGATCCCTTCTCGTTAATGCTGCCAGTAGGGATGTGTGCAGACTGGCGCAGACTGGGCCCGTGTTTGGGCCCGCCTGGTTTAGGGACCGGCCGTGCGGTTCTGCACTCAGACAGCCGCACTTTGCACTGTCTTTTAGCTGGGATTTTATAGCCAGTCACCCTTTTTTTGGTCACAGAGTTAGAAAACGCACACGTTTCCTCACAGACTTCCCAAAAACCTGGGTCAGGGACATGGAAATGTCCCTCCTGACATCCCCAGCAGAGCTGGTCCACAGCACGGCCAAGGACGGCTCCCGTAGGAGCCACCAGACAATTCTCCTCCCTAAGCTGAGCTTTTGGATCCCAGTTTTTGCTAGGCTGCGGCAATCTCGTTCTCCATTGAGGCTGCGCCACTGGAGCAGAACAGAGTGACTAACCCCCGTTCAAACATATGGGCCGTGGACATAATTCAAGTTAATAGCGAGCATGTTACTAATTGGTTGCAAACCCTCAGCTAGAATGTAAGCACGCCCTTGGACTATAAAAGATTTTTAATTCTGTGGAAAGTCATTTGGATGTCCTTTAGTGCTAAGGAACAAAAAGAGCATCAGTTCTTACAATATTAATGTGAAAACTAGTAAATGTAATGGAGCAGTTCTCTGTTTGAAATGCTTTTTCTCTATGTGTTTTTTTCCAGTGATCTCTTAAGCATGAAGCAGTGTGTAAATAATGTGATATATTTTGAGCTTTCTAATTTTTGTGTAAAAAAGGAACAAAAAAAAAACCTTCAACAGTAATATATTGACCTTTTTTATACTGGATTCTGTCGTTTATGGACTTGGAAAATATTGTAAATCCCCCAAACCCGTAAGATCTGCATGGTAGAACCGGGATTTGAGCGAGGTTCCAGTGACAGCAGCTGGGAGTGAAGAGCAGTCGCTGCTGCTGTTGCTGTGTGGACGAGCACGGGACATTGCGCTGCCCTTGCAGCGTGCAGGAGCAGGGACCCCCGTCCTGATGAGGCTCCCGGCTCTGTATCTGCCCTGCACATCTAAAGAATGAAAAAACCTGGCTGAAAACACAAAAAAAAAGAGGAGGCAGCCTGGGCCATGAAGGAGGCTGCTCTGTGCTGCCTGGCCAAAGAAATGAAGGGCTTTCGACTTGCAGAGGAGACAAAGCCAAGCTCCGTTCCTCGCTGTGGTGGAAACAACAATCCTTCGGTTAAAATAACTGTCCTGAGTACCTATGGAGATTGGATGCTATCAGCAGGAACTTTTATCTCAAGAGCAGACAGCCCAGGGCCCCGTTACGGTTTCTCCAGCTGAAGATTTGCAAATTTTCTGTTACTGCAAAACTCGAATTCTTGAGCTAGTCTCGACTGCAATATCGCCAAACACAAAACACAGCAGCACCTTCGGTGGAGAGAGCTGCGGGATGGCGAGGGCTCTGCTGAGACCTTTCCTGAGAGCTCCAGAAACCAACGGAGCTGGTTAACTAACACTGCAAACAGAGCAAATCATGTTGCTCGCCCCTGAGGTTCTCAAAACTTGGCAGTTTGGAGTATTTAACACTCCTGGTTTGTAGGGTTCACTTATATTTGACTTTCTTGGTTTATGTGGTTTAATTGTAAACTCTCTAACTGTTGGCACGCTCCTCTCGCCTGCCTCTTTCTCCCTTCTTTTTGTCTTTTTCTTTAAACTATCTGGTCTCGGGAACATCCTATGCAGAGTAATGAATTATGATTTCTATCTCTGCATATGGCATTAGTGAGACCAATAAAAGAAACTGCAAACTCTTCCACTGTTAACATTTTTAAAGATGCTGAAAAAATTACAGACTGTGCAGAAAAGAGCCATAAAAAATATTTCACGGAGAAAGAAAATTCTTTACAAGGAGTCTGTTCAGCTTAAAATGAAGATCAGGACGCAATCGAATGCCTTTGGAGGGAGGAGATGCTTTATATAACGAGGTCTTATATTGAACTGAGAAATATGCACAAAGATCCATCCATTGGCTGGAAGCTGAAGCTACAGAGAAATAAAAAAAAAAAGCCATGGATTTTTAATAGCGAGGCTGATTAATGACAACCAGACCAGTGATTGGATCCCCGTTCCCTGTAATGGCATTTTGATTCCACAGATCATTTCTGGAGGAAATGCTTTAGCCAAATGCAAGTTGCTAGGCTGAGTGTAGGAGGCTGCAGTGGATGCAAGAGCCGCTCCGTGACATGGAAGCAGCCAGTGTGAAACAAATCTTTGTGGCCTGACCTTAAGGAATGCAGAGGAAGGGGAACGGGAGGCGTTTCTGCTGTATGCGGAGTAGATGTGAGCGCTCCCTCGGGTCCCTGCTCCGCCGCATCCCTGCGGGCAGCTGGAGGAGGGTTTGAGGGAGGATGAGAGCCCAGGGCAGCGTGCCCCGTTCGCACTGACCCAGCGCCGCGTTCCTTCTCGCTCGGGTGCCGTGAGCAGCAAGGCGCTCCGAGCGGGAAGTGGGCTCGGTGGGAAGGCCCCTCGGTGCCTGCGTGCTGCTGTCCTCGAGCTGGGTCCTGCTGGCGGCAGTGGCTGCGGGTCACTGCTGACGTGGGCGTCCAGCTCGGGCACGAAACGCGTGCGGCTCTGGGCTGCTCTTTGGGAGCTGCCCGGGTTCTGCGCCTCCTCGCTCGCTCTGCGGCTGCACTTTGCATCTTTGCCAGCTTATTGCCAGCTGCTCACTGTATTCTCGGTTGCCATTTAGGTTAAATCTGTGCAGATCAACTAACAAATCGAGAAGCAAGAATTATGTAACTCAAACAGCAATGAAAATGCATTTTATTTACTTCCATTTCATGATGTTAGCTATCGCTTTTGGTGTGGAGGGGGGTTTAAAGGCATAAGGAGCAGTTGGAAAACAGGCTCCTGCTGGCTCTAGTGCTTTTGAAAAAACCCTTTTCTGTCCCAAATTAAAGCTAAATTCCTCTTCTGTGGAAGGTGGAAGGCAAATCTCTCATTGATGTCACTGGGAAGAAGATCTGTAATTGTTCCCTTAATGTACAGTTGATCTTCCCGTGTCCCCAAGTCCTCTCCAAACTAAAGCAAGGCGCTACTCCAAACCACACTGTGGGCCTCTACGCTCAATATCCTGCACTCATCCTGGTCATGGACCTTCTGTTGGTATCAATGAGAGGTCAGTCCCCAGAATGACTGCAGAAAAGCACAAGAATCTGGAAGTGTCCACAAACAATCTACAATGCAGATAGAAAAGTCTTGTTTTACATATGCTGGCAAAAACTAAACAGCTTTCTATCTAGCTCCTACTCGAAGAAGTTTGATATCACTGAAGCTACAAGACAAGCTAACCTCCAAAGCTTATGAAATTATATTAAAATTTATATTTTCTCTGAGGAAATACCCCGAAGTCCTATTATCTTCAGGTAAACAAGTCAGTATTCCGTCTTCAACTTGTGGAATATCCAGTGCTTGTAGGCATCAACTGTGACCACTTGCCAGGCCTGCAAAACATTGATACAGAATACCAGAACAGTGCTTTACCTAGTGCTCTGTCAGCCCTGCACGGCAGCCTTCCCCCTCCCAACACAGAACCCCGATGTTTGCTCACAGGGGAGGAAAAGAGGGCTCTACGTTGACTGAACCTCTTATGTGGGGTTTTCCTTGCCCATTCCTGAGGCACAGCCTGACCACTCAAGGTTTGCATGCCAGTTGAGGAGGAAGGCTGGAATCCGCATCCTAGCGTGGCACTTGGTGGCTGCTCTCCGTTTGTGCTGGCCGAATCTTTCATTGATGCCCCCTGCACAGGTTAAATCTGAATCCTGAGTCCAGGAATCAAATCTGAAGTACAGATTCACCCAGGCACTTGGAGCAGGCTGACACAGTCTGGATGTCTGGTACGAGGCTGCAGCCGGAATGCAGCAGTTTCTCTGGACTTCTGCTGCTTCCGTTTCCATTAGAAATGCTGGCAGAAAGGGATTCTGCACCATGTGGCAACTCTTGCCCCTTCAGCTATGAGGAATTTAACTAGCAGATCCTCAGGGAGCTGCTAGGAATAAGCCTGGTCCCTAGGGCTGAAGCAACTGAAACCTGTGCAAAGGAGAGCCCCAGGTGAGGCAGAGATCCCCAAGGGCAAGCCTGTGGATTCCCACCTCCGTATCCTTATTCCGTATCCTCATCATTTAATGCAGACTGATAAGCTCTAGTAGCACAAGTGCCCATTTCACATGGGCACTTCATATGGGGTCTAAGAAAAACAAAATCTGCTTAGACTTCTGTGTGCTTTCCAAACACACGTTTAAAAGACTAGGTTGTTAAGTGATAAATTGTTTCAGGACAGTTGTAATCTCGCTGGGAAGACTTGAAACGATTTTCTTTGCTCAGCAAATTCATGCCAGATCAGCTGATTATTTTCCTCTTCCATATGAAAATGTTTATATAGGCCTTTTTGAATACTTTGAATTTGCAAATAGCTCATGAAGATCCATTTTACTTCCAAGAACTACTAGCTGCCTTACTCCAGACTCAGTAAGTATCTCAGCCCTTACAAAGCACTTTTATTTTTCTCCCCAGAAAAACCCCTCTCTATTCTTCCAGCTTGAGGGAATGTAAATTTATTTTACAGGAATTCAGAAATGCAGCTAATTGCTACCACCAGATGTCAGCAGCAATAAAGATGACTGACAGGGAGGCTGCAAATGCTTAGGAAATATAGGTCAATCAGAGACCAAGCAACTGATTTATGTTGATCCCTGAGATTCTTCACGTTAGTTTTGTGAGTTCATCAATAAACAAGGATTTTGGTTAAAACACTTAAGTTATTGGTCCTGGAGAA